TTGATCCCACTGCCCCGACTGTCCCAGCTGTGCACCACCTGCTACCCAGGCACACCACACACACATGCGATGATGCAGTGTTCCGTTCTCCAGGTCCTCCACTTCAGGTCCAACCCAGGCCTCTGGGGCCTTGCTGGCCCTGCCCCAGAAGTCCCTCCACTCTCTGAGTGGGTGCTGGGCCTTTGCAACCAGCCCACCTGAATTGAGCCCCCTGACCTGGCCCTGCCTCAGGTTCCTCTTCCTGTGCTCCCCCAGCACCCATTGCCCCTAAGACCCCTGGATCCTCCAACCTCAGGAATTTGGAGTGACCATTTATTTTGCCGCAGGAAACTGACCCCAGGGAGGGTCAAGGTCTCCCAGCCCCCTGGCAGGGTCCCCAGCCCATTTCCTTGCCCTGGGTGCCCCAGTCAGCACCTTGGGGTCCTTCTCATAGTAGTGCTGCTGCGTGCGGATCCAGCGGCCCACGAGGTGGTCACGTACAGTGTGGGCCAGCGCAAAGTAGTAATCTCGAGGGGTGGCCACATTGCGGTCCTTTACGAGTGTGAAATGTAGGTGCCGGTTGAAGTTCTTCTTCAAGTCAGTCACATTCTCCACGCCGGCCAGGCCTCGCACACTGATCTGCTTTCTCTTCTCCTGGTCTGACAGGGGCCGAGACATGGCTGTGGGAGGGTGGGCTGGGCTGACCGGTGGATGTGCAGACAGGAGGCCTCCGTGGTCCCTCCAGCCAGGGAGTGGAAATCTCCAGGCGTCTGGTGATTTAAAGCCGGACTCTGGGCAGCATGCCCCGCCTCCCTGGGCGGTGGGAGGGTCTTGGCCTGACAGCCCAGGAGCTATTTCGGGATGAGGGGAGGAGAAGAGAGAGGCAGGGAGAGCCTGGCTCATTCACAGCCCTACTCTGCCCATGTCCTCCAGGCCTTGCACACGGGGGTTTTCTGTCTTCTGTCTCCGTCCTCTGCGGCAGGGACAGAAATGAAATACAGCAGGTGGAGTGCTGGCTTGAGAGGCCCAAGGCTTGCTGGAGCCGATGGCTGTGACTTTGGCTAAAGACTTGCCTTGATCTGGCCCTTTTCCTGGGTTATAAATAAAGGTGGGCTGGATTCTGGGCTCTCAAGTAGGAGAGTCTGAGGGGGCTGTCAAGTGGGCAGGTGTCGGGAGGCCCAGCCTTCGTCAGAGCAGCTTGGTTTGCTTGACATTTGCCCGGACACTGCAAACCACAGGCTGAATGGCCCCTGCTAAGGTTTCCATAGTGGCTACACTGAGGGGCTCTCATTAGCTGCACTCTGGGGGGAAGGCCACATGTTGTGGCAAAAGTGCACCCTTGCAGGCTGAAGGGCCAGGATTGAGGATCAGTGTGCCCCAAACAGAAGAGTGCAGCTAGTGTAGGACACTGGGTGACTTGAGAAAGGGATACCAGGACCCCGAGTTTCAGGGGGTGGAATGGGGGAATGTTACCTGAGGCAGGGCCACTACCCTCACCCCACCCCCACCCAAACTGATCTGCTCCGAGCTCCCCCTGTTGCTGTCCCTCAAGGAGCTCTGAAGTGACCTTTTGAGAGGGATGGTCAGATTACAGGCCAACTTTGGCTAGGGCCCTACAGGCTGCAGCAGGGGTCCCTGGGAACTGTAGTCCTATGGGCCCACAGAGGTAGGAGAAACTGAAATATACTCCCAAACCCCCACCATAACATTTGTGGAAAGTATTAGGTCTTCCTGTGAGGCAGCTGCCAGGTGATTGGAAGCCTTCTCCCACTCACTCCTCCCACCTGGCACCACCACTGGACAGGGACTTAGTGGTCCAAGGTTCACAGCTATGATCTCACATAAAATGGGAGCCCCTGCACCCCAGAACTTTACACCATTCATCTTTCTTTGGAGGCTTTGGCTGCCCTCCATTGCCAGCTCAGGGCCTGGCTCCAGCACTGTTATGCTGTGCAACCTTAGGCAGGTTGCTTTCCTTTTCTGAGCCTTGGACTCAAATCAAATTTCTAAGTCTTGTGAAGGCCAACTGCGGATCCTGTTTTCTTCTTTAAGCAGAGCCCAAGGTCTTGTGTTATTTCAAAGGCTGCCTGGACCCAGCTCCTGGGGCAGTGGGCCTGTGGAGGGAGGAACTTGGTGTTCTCGTCTGAGGACTGAAGGTCAGAGGCCTGGACAACTGCAGAATGCTACTGAGGCTGTTCGGGGAAAGCCAAGTTTTTCCCTGAGGACTTTCTGAGCCACAGCAGGCCCAGTCCGGTAATTACAGCTCAGTGTGGGGGCCAAAGTCAAGTCCCACCTAGGCTTTCTGATCCCCAAGCTCCCCTCTGCCCATACCCCGAGACAGCCTTCCTGTGAGGGTCTTCCACAGCGCTATGCTTCACAGTGGAAGAAAAAGGTCCGAAAGGAAAGACCTGTCTTCTTTTAGAAGTCTTTTATACATTGTTAAAAACTAAAATAAAATAAATAATGCCTAGGGGCACTCTGGTCCCTTCACAGCTCCCATCCTCAGCCTCCCGGGCTGTGCCTCTGAGAGGCTTCACTCCACCTTCTGCCAGGCCCCTGGGCCCGGCAGCTTGGCCTGAGCTCTCCTCCGTGGAGGGCTGGGCCAGGCAGAGCTCAGGAGGCTGGTTGGCAGTCATCCCTGGGCGAGGCACACCAGTTATGCAGCTGTCCCCTCACACCCCAATGGGGGCTGCACACTGGCCCCACACACCCTTGCACTGACCCCTAATTGCCTGTAAGACTCTTCCTGCCACTATGGACCTGCTCCCCACAAACCACTCCCATCTTTTTATCCAGCTCCCTAAGTTAATTCACTCAGTCCTTTTCCAGCACTTGGCCCCAGGCCCTCTCCCTGCTTATCAATTCAGCTCTCATCCTTCCTCTGCACTTAGGCACTCGCCAAACTAGGACATATCCTGTTTCTACTGGGGACAGACGCACTTTGACTCGTTTTTTCTCGTGGGTTCTCTTGGCCTTCTGTTGTGCCAGTGACCCCCAACTCTTCCCCCTTCACTGTCCCAACCCAGCAGGGCATGTGGAAGGTTCAAACTGCCCTATTTCTCCTGCACTAGGTTCTCCATTTCATCATCACTCCCTAGTGTTGCATGTGCATTTTTTTTAAGATTTTATTTATTTATCTTTAGAGGGGAAGGGAAGGAGAGAGGGAGAGAAACATCAATGTATGGTTGCCTTTCATGCATCCCCTGCTGGGAAGTGGTCTGCAGGGAACCGACCTGCAACCCGGGTATGTGCCCTGACTGGGAATCGAACATTTATTTTAAGGAATCCTGAAAGCACACGTTAGCTCCAAGGAGCTGAACTAACTCAAGGCTGTTTATGTCTGACTAGATTTCTCACCAGAAATCCTGCCTCCTTCCCCAGACCAACCTTGGGTTTCTGCAGGACGCTTGGCTGGGTCTCGGTAACAGAGCCCTAATGCTGACCTTTCCCAACTGGCGCTCTGAGCACAAGCTCTCCCAGGTGGGGAGACACTGTAGCCAAGAGCACAACTGGAGAAGGGGGTGCCTGGTCCTCTGTAACTGGGTCCAGCAGAGGCCTTTTCCCACCCTGGGTGTGTCCAGGTGGGTGAAGTGCTCCCCATTCTGCTACAAAAGCAGGCATCTTGCTGCCATTCTGAGGGCCAAGCCTCCCTGCTGTCTCTCCTCAATTTCAGGGTCTCAAGCCACCCAGAGAAAGGCCCAAGACTGATGCCTTCAGTCAGGCACTTTATTACTCTCCAAAACCTTAAAAGCTGATGGCAAGGAGCAAAGAGGGAGCACGCACAGGAATGGAGCTGGCCCCAGGGGAGAAAGGGAGAGAGACAGAAGAGATGCTGGGCTGTGGTTAAGTCATTTATTGATTTTATTTCTAAAACCCACATAGCGCCACTTTGCCTCTTCCAGAGCTTCAAAGAGCTAATTAACCGCCCAATGAGCCCACCAGGGAAACTGAGCTTGTGGGGAAGCAATGAGGTGAAGCCAAGGTCAAAGAAGGTAGCCAGGCCTGAGCCCTGCCTCCACTCCATCAGTGAAGGACAAAGACTTTCCCCTCCTCCTTCTAGTCAACTGAAAATTAGAGCCACATTAGGGAACCCACATAACTTTGAGGCTTCCATAACGCTGCAGGCCTACAGCAAAGAACAAGCACCCTAGAAGCGGTGCAGACACACCTGGGCTTAGCTCCAGACCAACAGTAGTGGCCAGCTCCAGCTTCAAGCTGGACAGCAGCCCAGGCCAGAGTTGTCCCCACTGGTCAGCTGCTGGGGGCAGCAGGAGCTTGTCACCTTGTCCCATCCATTAGCCTCCCTGAAGGAAGGAAAGGCAGCCAGGGCAGGACCAGCTCTCCCAGGGATAGTGAGGGCAAGGACCTCACTACCTTGTGGAGACTGGACATGGACTTTCCTGGTGCCACATGGGCACTATCAAGACATGAAAGCATAATACAGCCTAAGACTATGATAAAGTGCTTACAAGGCAGAAGGTGGGGCACCTTCTCTTGCCCCCACCACTGCCTAAAGCCAGCAGTGCTGGCAGGCTCTAAGTCACCAACAGAGAAAGAAAAGCCACTTGGCGATTTTAATTTTAGCTGCTCTGTGTCTGACAGGCAGGATTAGCTGGCTTGACCTTTAGTGCTGATGCCTCCCTAGGCCCAGGGCCTCAGTCAGGTGGCAGCTCCCAGGCCCAAATCACAACTGGAGCGCATCGAATATGGGAGGGAGGGGTCTAAGCTCCAGGGAAATGCCTTAAAAAGGACAGGGAGGATAAGGGGTAACCAAGGAGGAGACCCTGGTTCTCTGTTATTAACTAGTACACAAAAGGGAGATAGTGGGGATGCCTATACACACTGCTTCCCCCAGCAAAGCCACACAGGCAGGTAGGCAGAAGGCTTCCTTAGCTAATGCCCCACAGGTTCACCAGGGAAAAGGGGACAAATAGGACCACAGGCTGAACATAAGTAACCCTGGTGACGCTGATGGTGATTGGGGGGAGGGGAGTTTAAGAGAAAATAAAGAAACAGACCCAGAAAACCACACTGCTCTTTTATTCAATGAATGTCCCCCTTTAACGCAGTGTTGAATCATACACCAAAAAAAAAAAAAAAAAAAGCCCAGAGAAATTTCTGCAGATAAACCAGTGAAGAGAACGCGCATTATACATTATTGTCAACATAATCACTCCATAAAAAGGGGGTGGGGGGAGCAGAACGAAAAAACAAGGGACTCAACACCCTAGACACTGCAAAAACATTCAGACGTTTGGGATTAAAAGAAAAATTAAAAGGAACCCTTCCAGGAAGGAGAGGAACAAATGGAATTACGAGGCAGCTCAGGTGCTCTGGGAACATGACACGACTCTCCAGACTGGCAGACAAGCCCCGGGTGGCTTGAGCAGCCACACCCACCACTGCCAGGGGTGTCAGGATGGCTATGGACCCCAGTTCTGGAGATTAAGCCTCTATTCTATGAGGGTAGCAGAGACAAAGCCCCACACTTTAAAAAAATCTCAGGGTGGCTATGGCCCCTTGTAAATCTTAGAGCCAAAGTACAACCCCTCCCAACTAGCCTGACATTACTGGCCAAGGCCTTTGCCTAAAACCATTTGCTCCTCTCTCCTTGGAAAGAGAAGAGTGAGGAATGGAGAAAAGAAAAAGGAATCTGATTGCAGCAGAAGACCGGGGAGAGCGTCTCCTTGGATGGAGTCTGAAGAAAGGAAGAGAGAAGGAAATAACAAAGGGAAAAGAAAAAATTAATAAAAATTTCACAATATGGAGCCAGCGTGTTCCGATTCCATCCACAAAAATAACTCAGGCTGCTTTGCCGAACCATCCTGTCCACCAAGGGCGCTGCTGAGGTTGTCTGCCTGGAAGGGTCACCAATGGGCGCGGAAAGTCCTCACTCTCATGGCTCGGGCCATCGCCGCTGCGGGGAGGGATCCTGGTGGCCCAGTTTGAGGAAAGGCAAAGGGAGTTGGGTGAGGAGAGAAAGAAGACAAAGAAGACACTCGATGCTACGGGGCGCCAGGGAAGCACAAGCTGACGCCCCTACTACCACCTGCCCGTACCCAAGCGAGTCCTCAGTCACTTGGCCCAGCCCGGTGCGTGCACACACACACATGCGTGCACCCAATCACATGCGTGCGTCCCAATGTCTGGCTCCATATGGTGAGGTTCGACGTGTGTTTAAACGAGACCAATTCTCTCTATATAATATATATTTTCTTAAAAAACCGAGTCTAGTTCTGTGGTGGAGGCGGCGGGGGAGCTGGAGGCATCCCGAAGGGCGGCATGCCCGCCACCCCCATGCCCATCATGGTGACAAAGTTAGAAGGGTCCATGGGAGGCGGAGGAGGGGGGGGTGGGGCATACATCATGCCGGCGGAACCAGGTGGCGGAGGCGGCGGAGGGGGAGGGGCCCCGGGCGGCAGAGGCGGCTGGACCCCGGGGGGCAGGGGCACCATAGTGGGGTTGCCTTGCATCTGAGGGGCTCCTGGAGAAGCTGCGGCAGCCGCCTGCTGCTGTTGCCATGGCGGGATGGACCCTGTGCCAGCGCTCGTGGTGGTAGTCGTCGTATCTGGGGTGGTAAAGAAGCCCAAGGTCACACGCGCGGGGGCACACCGCGGTTCTCTGCGGCTGCTGCCTTGGGATGGGGGCGAGAGGCGCCTGCTCCTTGCTTGGCATGCGGTACGGTGGTGGGGGGCGGGCGGGCGGGGCTGTCCTGGTGATGGGGAGTGAAGGGGTGGGCAAGGACTACCCTGGGGTCAGCCTCGAGGTCTCTGGGCTTAACGGAGTAAGCCCTTTGTCACCAATGCCCCAGGGAGGGCTGACAGGAAGGTACCAGACACAAGAACCGGCTCTGACATCCCTCCGCCCATCCGCCGCCACCACCGAACGGCACATTCAACCTCAAGGCCACAGCTACTCTCCCCACGGCTAGGTCCCATCCCTGCAGTCTGTCAGGCCCCAGTCACAACCCTCTCCAGAACATGCATGCAGCACCACCCACCCCGGCCTTAGGAACAGGCTTGAGCCAGCTGGCTCACTCAGCCAGCGAGAGCCTGGACTTCTGGCACTCTACCTACTATGGCAGGTCCCCCTCCAGGTCCCCAGACGCAACCACATCCAACATCAGATCTCCTCCCCAAGATGCCCCAGGGGCCACAAGGCCCTTTATTTACACCCCAGCAGAGATCAGAGTCTCACCCCAAGGTGCCAGGCTGCCTGTGTGAGCTGTGAGGTTCTCTCATGCCTCTCAGCGCCCCCCACAATCCCACCCACCCCCACGAGCCCAAAATATGCCACTCACTTTGCTGCCATGGCAAGGGGGTACTGGAAGCCATACTGCTGCTGGGCGGAGGGGGTGGTGGAGGCTGCTGCTGCTGCTGTTGCCATGGGGGAAGAGGACCAGAGGGCGGGGGTGGGGGCTGCCCACTGGGCGGCGGCGGCGGCGGCGGCATCATGCCCATAGGCGGCGGCGGCATCATACCTATAGGTAGGTACAGAAAAAGGCGAGGCCCCTGAAATAAGTGAAATGTGAGACAGAACCCCATTCATTCCCAGGCCTAGGTGATGCCCCCAAACGAGCAGATGTCAGCTTGGCTCCATTACCTTTTCCTTGATGCAGGCGATAGACCCCAGAGCCCACAGGCGTACTTCCCAGGTACTGATCTTGATGGAAGGAAAGAGCAGGGACTTAGCAGGACATTTGAACTGACCAGGAAAGACGCCCCCACCAACAACTTATTCAGCGACACAGATTGCAGTTACTACTCTTACAAGAGCAGTTCTGAAACTTCGCCTATGAGATAGGCCTGTGCCTACTCCACACAGACATTCCTTCCTCAATCAGAATCGAGTCCTGGTGCTCCTCTTGGAGACCACACCTTGACAAAGGACCTAATGCAATACTCAGCCACTTTTGAGAACTGCTTCTAGCACACCACGACCTGCTGTAACCCTTGCTTATCCCAAAGCCCCAAGGTTTCTGGTCTGACACTTACTTACCCATTGGAGGAGGGCCATGGTGTCCAGGTGGGTGGGGGCCCTGGTTCATCGGTGGAGGCGGCGGCTGCATCCAAGGGGGTGGGGGTCCATTAGGGTTGTGCTGCATGGGATGTCCACCATGGCCACCTGCCAGGCTGGGTAATGGATGTGGGAAGCTGTGGGGGCCACCTCCAGGCCCACCAGGACCACCTCCATGCATGCCATGGTAGGGTCGACTCTCTGAAGGGCCAGAATTCATCCAGGGTGGGCGGCTCTGGGTGGTGGACATGAGAGACTATGTGAGAGCATTTCCAGCCAACGTCCCTGCCTGCTCCCCCTGGTGGCAACATTGTTCTTTTCGGCTATGCCAGAGGACCAAAACACAAGGACAGAATCTTTCCAAAGTAAGGTCTCCAAACATCCTGACATCCCGGAAGAACAATGTTGCCAGCCACGTGCAAGGTACCTGGCCATAGCCCCCAATCTCTGAGGAAGATACGGGGCCAGGCCACAAGAACCAGCTCCTGAAGCTCACCGGTGGAGGTGGGTTGTTGGCCGGAGCAGCAGGCCGAGGTGCACTGGCCAGAGGTGTGCTGGCAGGCCCAGAGGTGGAGCCCACAGATGCGGGCACGGGTGCTTCACCCAGTTCAGCCATAAGGGACAAATATTCTTTATCCATCCGTGCTTTATCCTGAGCTGACTGGGGGTCACCGGGCCTGAAGGTGGGGTGGGGACACAAAGAGAGGAGAAATCATTAAGGAAATTTTACCCTGAGGAATTCACACAGAGGAAGGTTTGAGTAACTGAATCATCCTTTCTAACACCTTCCTCAAAACAGTCTCGTCAGCTCTTCAGTTGTATACCCAGCTCTGCATCTAGGATTACATGTACCTCTCTGCCACAGGAGAGACCCTGAGGCAAGAAGAGAGGAAACAGTGAGCATCAGACCACAACCAGCCATGCCAGTCAGGAGAGCACAGGTTCTTCCAAACATCAAGTGCCATCAAATTCTGCATTACCAGTCTGAGGAAAGGAAATCTATGAAACACCAGAACACGGCTGCCAGGACTTCCTTAACAGAGCAACCCAAAGCGGAAAATGGTGCTATCAAGTGCTGGTTTGCAAATGATCAAAATCCTTTCATTGTTAGTCTTCTTAAACCAACCTTCAGCAGCAAAAAGGGCGCTTAATTCAATATTGAGCCACTGTAAAAACACATACCCAGAATGAAAGCCTCCAATTTTCCTGGGCTCAAGACAAACAATGAAACAGGGATGTTCTGTACAGGCTGTTCCTAATCATCTTGAACTTCAAATCACATCATTACAGACCACATTCACAGAAAGGAAAGCTTGTCTTGAACCCGCTGGTTAATCAGAAGCCAACCAACAAGCTACAGAGCTACCTGTCCTACACCCCCCAGGCTACCTGCAAACCATGACTGCAGCCCCTCACCTTTGGAATTTGCAATCAGAAGCAATGTGGCCAGCCCCTCCACACTTGGTACACACTGTGGTATTGGTAATGCTGCGGGTCTCTGAGCTCTGCCAGGGTCTTAAGATCCTGTTGAAAGAAAAAAAGTCAACTCTAGGGCTATGGCCAATCTCCCCCTACTTCCATAGGTTCTTCAACTCTCCATGTACTCCCCTCTAAACTGATCACGTACCTGTTATCATCTTCCCGAAGGGTCCCATTCAAGCGAGCCAACTCCCGAAGCTGCATCTTCCGTAGATCATTCTGGTCCTCAGGGGTCTCAATACCCTGCTTCAGAATGTTTCTTATCTAATGGAAACAGAATGAGCAGTTATACAAGTGCTGAGACCACCATCTAGAATTTCTGGCAAGAGGCTTCCTTCTGGCTCTCTCACCTGTTCTACTGCTTTCTTCACATTCTCCATGGTATTGGCAGTAACCAGGGCATGAAGTGGCTCATCTTCTCCTGGCAACATCTGGCCATCCTTGCGCCCAACTTTCCCTTCTTTCACAGACCCCTTTCCCCGGATCATAATCTTGGCATTACACTCCTTCTCTATGTTCTTCAACGTGTTCCCTCTATCAGAGGCAGAAAGATTTGAGCTGTTATAAACCTGAAGTACAAATTCACACGCCAGAGGGGACACAAGGCAGGCTGATCACACTGGCAGAAAACTATAACTGCAGAGACTTGGATTTTCCCACCGAGAAAGCCATGACCTTTAAGCTAAGGTCAGCCACAGCCAGCCTCAAGATTTGCCTTTTCTTCAGTAAAATGAGGAAGTTAGAGATTCTTCTAACAGAAAGGCATGAACCCAGCCAAAGGTCCTACCAAAAACAGGAAGGTGCCACCAATGGCATCCAGTTTGGTACAAGATAGACACACCTCACAGGTTCTCAGGAATTCTGTATTCCATAAGCTAGAGGTTACTTACCTGGGCCCAATTAGCAGCCCCACAAAGTTGATTTCTGGATATTCATCTTGTGGAATCATTACTTTATCACTCACACGTGTTGCTGGAGGTCTAAGGAAGAAAAGACTCATTGACTCTGCACATTTCTGAGAGATGGCAATGGCTCATCTAGAACCTGTGACACCATGTGTTAATTATAGGTGATTAGGGGTAGGATGTTAAGAAGTTAGTATCAAAATTGTTCTACCAGGTCATGCACAACCTGAACATGTCCCTTCCCAGATAACCCAGCCCCTCTGCTTACTTGTAATCTGCAGGTGGCTTGAAATCAGGGTTGAGAGCAACCATTTCTGTGATGAGGTTATGCCGCTCCTCTTCCAGCTTTTTGCGGGTGCGGAACTCACGTGTGTTAAGCCTCTTCCCCTCACTGTTGTAGATGGGCTCAGGGGAAGGGGACCTGTGGGAAACAGACCAGCGTTACTGCTCTACCTACACCTTTCTGTCACTCCCACATAGGCTATAAGAAGTATTCCCCAGCCCCTCTGCCTCAGACCCTAACACAACACTCTCCGGAGGAACCGACCATAACGTGTGCTATTCAAGATCGTGTGGAATAGGAAGATGGAAGCTGGCTTAGCATGAGGTAAACTGGCATGTGTGTGAGAAAGGAAAAAAAAAAAATTCTGCTTTTAAAAACGATGAGGGGGAAAAAGCCTGTCCTTCTCAGGGGAAGTCTGTGGACTGCAAATGGTAAGGACAGTACTCTCTGGAGTCTTCTTCCCAAAGGATTTTTTCGTTTGCAAAAAATTTTACAATATTACAACTTTATGAACCACAGAAACCCCAAGTTTAGGTAAAATGTTAACTCTTGCAGAGCTCATGCCCTATCCGAAAGTGTTTGTACCCCTACTACCACATAGTAAGTATGAGCTCTTTAACCCAATGCAACTAGGACTCAAGGCTACTGCAGCTACTTGGCCCCCACAATGGAGAGGTGGTTCAAGGCTTCATCTCTGCTTTTCCTTCAATGGCCTGACTGGCTGTGTCCAAGGCCCAGGAGTCAACCTGTTTCCTGGCTGTTCGAGGTTGGGGAGTCTGGGTAGAGAAGAACGTTAAAGTGCTAAGGCAGCTTCTGAGAGAGGCTGCAAATGTGGATTTGGTCAAATACTTGTCTACGGTCTGAACCTGCAAACAGCAAGGGGGAAACCTATGATTCTCCACAAGAGTTTACAAGTCCAGAAAGCAGATTTTCTCTCTCTTTTTTTAAAGAAGTAAAATGCTGTTGCTACAAGTAAAAAAAATAGTAATGATAAAATGGTCAGTTTACCACAGCTGGACTTTGCGGTAATAAAAAAAAAAAGAGAAGTTACACTCCTAGAATTCTGAGTTAAGATTACAAAAATGACCATAGCTTGATATTCTGAATGAAAATTTAGTAGCAGCTGCAAGAAGGGAAGAGACCATGTGCATCAAGTTATTAAAAAAACATCCTGAAAGTAGTCAAGATTCCTACACCCTTGGTTTAGTTGAGAACCTTGCCTAGTTGGAGAGCAAGGACTGAACTCGGCTGCGCCCACTGTCTTCAGCCTAAAGGGAACCATGTCATCCGTTACACACACGATGGAATAAAAGGTCAGGTTTGTTCGTGGCTAATGACGGCTAAAATGACACCTCCGTTCCTAGCATTTATATACACTGTTAGCACAATCCGGCAATAGTGAACAAAAGCAAACATACCCCGGCTTATTAGACTACCACCTTATACATTTAAGTCTACAAGCAATTTTAAAACATTTTTAACTGTGCGACTTGAGCAACATCAAAATGGCATAAAGTGGCTTAATATTAAAATACACCTTCTTTAGAAATAATCTTATTAAGGTGAGAAACTCATGCATTTCCCTCCAACCTGGGCTCAAAAGCAAAACCAATCAGGCATTAGGGACTCTGAATACAAGGGAGAAAAAGTCTGCTCTGGTTTTATTTCTAGCATGCTTGACATTTCTAATTCCCACCTGGTAACTGTCTAGAATGAAGCATTTCTAGCTAATCACCAAAACCAGTTTTACCAGTACAAAATGGTTATTTTAAAAGCCTCACAACAGTTTACCCTCTTTCCAAATTATGAATGTGAAAGGCAAAAGCTGATATTCTAAAAGTTAAGGTCGGCCCAACTTCTTCACTTTGAGTAGGCATCATATAGATCAACTAAATTCTAACCCCAGTTCTCCAGGAAGCAAAGGTTTGTTAAAAATTCAACCTTTTGAGGAATTGCCTGGTAACCTGTACATGTAATATTAAGGGGAAAAGGGCCAAAAAGGCACTGAACAGTTGTGGTCTACAACCTACAATGCAAATCTTAAAAAAAAAAGTCAAGAATTATAAAACACAACGCTCCAACCAAAATCTACAGGTGAAAAAGAAAAAAAGTAAAATTGAAGCCAATAAATGTTTCCTGGCAAAGGGCAGCAGAAAAATGTGTCAGAGTGGCCTCTAAAATCATTACATCTTTCTGATGTAACAAGATGTTAACTGGATAACAAAAGCCAAAAACCATTTTTAAAGCACAGTCTTTTCAACTCTGCTGCATGGACTAAGAGAAATTTCATTGCCCTTTCAATTAAATGGACCAAATTTTAGCTGTTCAAAGACCGCACTCAGTCAATAAAATTCATGTTAAAAAAGTTCATTTCCCTTGATAGACTTTCCTTCCACACGTGAAACTGGAAATTGAGAAAACATGACCACAGCTGTTTGAGGACCACATTCCTCTCAAAAGTGGGGGTAGGGGGAAGAGTAATTTAGGATTGCCTTCCCCAAACAGGTTGAATATTCTGGCCCCTCTCAAACCCCAGGCAATGGCCAAGGCTGAAAATTAACTGGTAGTGAAGGAAGTTGGTTAGAAATCTCATCTATTTTAAAACCACCTCAAAACCATGAGCAGAAAGATTGTAGCAATGAGCTGACCAAATCGAAAGTTTCTGGCCTGCTCAAATTCAGTGATGCTCAAAAATATTCTTAATCCCTGCATCATGTACCTGTGAGAAAAACTCTATACCTGGGCTTTCAGCCAGAGCAGGTAGGTACTGAAAAGGCTGGTTAATGGCCCACCTCACTATCCCTACGGGTGGGCAAATCAGGTTAAAATATACATGCTTACCAATTGGAAACCAGCTGTCCATTTTCCTGTAACTTTTAATTCTGCTAGTAATTAAGTTTCATTCCAATTTTCTAACTGATGACTGATTATATATATTGCTAATTAAACCTTACTCCCCAGAATGGTCAGAGTACCAATCGTCTTACTAGGATTTTATTGAACTGACACAATATGTTGCCACCAGTAAAACGTATTGAGAAAAAGGTAAAAGCGTTACTGTCAGCTGGTTAAAACTGTTTCCCAACCTGTCCTCAGGGTTAGGGGGGATGCCCAGGTCTCCTGTGCGCAGTTTACGAGTCAGGTCTTCTATCTGCAGTTGCACTGGAAGAAACCAGGTTAGGAAAGAAAAAAAAGGATGGAAAAAAGACAATGTTACCAAAAAACATTTCAAATCTCAACAACAAGCATGAAGAACTCGGAGACTTTGAAAGGGACGATTGATCAGTGAACACATTGAGGCAAAAACTCCCAACCACCTATCGGCAGGAGTCCATTTACATCTACAGGTATTTTTCACTTCAAAATGGTTATCACTTAAGGAAGCAAACAGTTTGTTGGAAGAGGGGTTAGCGTATAGACTATTCACTAAGGCTAACATCAAAACAATTATTAGGTGTTTCACCTCTCCCTCCTCACCAAGGCTTCTTATAACAATTGGCACTCAGAACCAAACCATGTACATTATCACTGATACCCCATTCCCACCAAATTAATTTCTTGAGGGCAAGACTCTTGAGTTAATTTTTCTTTATTAAATACTAAGCATAACCCAAAATGACCCAATTAACATGGACCAAGGAAAAATACCAGTTGAGCAAAGATCGTTTTTACTGATATTAGGCTTAAAATTCTTTATACATGTTATAACCAATTCAAGACCTCATAGAAACTCAGATACTTTCTATACAACCAGATCCTTACTGATAGGGATCTCTCAATACTCGTGCTTGTACTCAAATTTTCAATAACAACCCATATACCTTAATAAACCAGTGATGGTAAAGATGCAAGAAGTCTGTTTTTAGATTTGTTCCTTATGCAGGAATAAAACAGGGTATAGAGGATGAAAAGTGTGGGTCAGGGAGAACGGTGTGGCCCTCAGACCTTGACAAATGCAGCTGCACGTAAGAAAGAGACATGAGCGTTTCGCAAAGTTCAGTGACTCAGGGAAACACTCCCCAGTTGATTACTCAAAGTTAACGGGACCTGCAGAGCCAGATCGCTTTCTTCAGTGTGCTGAATAACCACCTATTCCTTACCTTTACAGCATTTGAGGGTTCTGAGCAGGCATCTAATAAGAGCAAGTCTTACTGGGTTGGGTAAAGTTGAACTGACTCCAAGACAAGATTAATACATGTCTAACCCAAGGTACCTTCTATTTTTAAGTACATCCCACAGGGCTACATCACACATCCATTCAAACTCTGAAGAAATGAAAATCCACATTAATATTTAAAAAAATGAGGAATACATAGTACAAGCCAATGTGTACTGTGACAGACAGAAGTTACTGTGACAGACAGAAGTCACATGGCTCCCTAAGTTCTTTAATGCCAGAAAGTTCTGACTTGGCAGTTAAGTATGAAGCTCAACTCCAGGAGAAAGTCACCTTCATGGAGGGTAAGCAGTTCTCCTCCTAACTGGTCTATGGGAACATGAGGTCTGATTTGAGAAAATAGCTGGCACTTAAATTGAATCAAAAAGTCGCTATCTTCCTTGGAGTAGAGATCTACATCAGTTCTTGCTTTGATTCTAGCTACTAACTGTGGCTATAAAGAGCCCTCAGGGCTCACTGTATTAACTCCATAGGAAGAGAACTGGAGATGTAAAGAATGACGTTGTTTTCCCATTTTCTAAGTCTGCTCATATACGGGAAATATTGCTCCACAAGGGACATTTTCACAAGGCTGTGAAGGTCCAGACCTGTCTAATATGAGATGTAAGAGTAGGTGGTGTAGATATGAATGGTAGGGAAAGAAAATATTAGTACTGTGATCAGACGATTCCAACACCTCAAAGTTCTCAGCAGTCTAAAAGATGTAAGACGTTATGATCCTCAATAACAACATGTCAGCCTTGATGCTTTTTACTTGTGAAGGCCATGGCCTCAATAGAGGTAGGAAACCACTGTCCTAATTTATTCCACAGGGGATGTTTATTTGGTTGGTAGAAATGTTTATCTAGTGAACTTTTTTGAGATTGCTGCACAGGTACATGAATAAAGGTCAAATTTGCATTAAAAACCTTATATATTTTTTAAAAAGTAATTTTGAAGTTAATTTCATTTCCACTGTGGACAGTCATTATTAATCCTTAAAACTTCCCCAACAGTTAAGATCTTTTATCCTACCACCTCATTCCATATCCAAGCAGTATCCCTTTCCCAGCAGAGTTCTTTAGTAGTAAACACCAAGAGCCCTCATTTTAAGACAGCTCTCCAAAAATCAAACCAGAAAAAAATGCTGAAGGAAAGGTTAAACTCAACAAAATAGTAAAAGGGGGTGTACTGTAAACACTTTCAGAACCACTTTTTGATAAAATTGAGGGTTTTTTTTCCTTTCAGAAAGTACCTATAAAAAGTAAAAGACCACATTTTAGGGAAAGGGAGGAATATGAAATTATGGTGAGAGGCCATGCTGTGAAAAAGTTAGCTGGTTTTACAATACCTGCAGTGTTCTCCACTGGGGCCATGTCCAGAAGAATAAGACACTCACCTCATCAACTGGCCATGACAGCAGCTGAAAAAGGTAGGGTTCTAAACTGGGGACTACCCTCACTCCTAAGTGGGCCGGTCTACTTTCCTGGCACTCTTGGAGAACACTGCTGTTACCAACAGACCATAACAAGGAGCTGCAAATGCAGGACCCACAGAGCAAAAACTGAAGACTGATTATGTCAGTAGTGAAAATCCACCTGACCATATGTCATCTCAAAAGAGAAAACTCTAAAGTATCAAACCTAAAATAGATAAAATGCCATTCAATACATTAAAAACCTGAAAATGCATTTGGGTGCAGAACGTGTATTTACCTATATAAGCTCTTTCTTGTTCCCGAGTAAGTCCGGGGGGGATAACTGTAGGCATTCCTGGAATCACCGTCTTCTGTTCCATTGTGTCTTGGTTCCAGCGGCTTCTCTTCCGCTTCTTATTTGGGAAGTCTAAAAGCAAATGAAGTCCATTAGTTACAAGTACAACCCCACCAGAGTAACTACCGACAGTTCAGACTACCCACAGGCAGTTCAGAATTACTTGTAACATTACACACAGCAAAGCAGACTGTGAAACCAAGAACTTGACCTAGAACGTAAATGACCAAGAATGGACGACAAACCTCAAAAATCAGAGATATATGGCCACTACAAGGGCACCTGGACCTAGGTACAAAAAGTTTTATTTCAGAGAAACTCCTCGAGTTATAGAAACAAGATAACAAATCTTAAAGCATAAAGTTTCAAATAGAAAAATAAAGTATTGGAAAGATATATATATATATATATATATACTACTACACCATCCATGAATATTTGAAAAGCCCCAGAGGCGACAGGAATAGAATGAATAACCAAACAAGTTTAAGTTTTATTGGGGGACGGCTGAATCCTCCCACCTCCACTTCCTACCTTCTAACTGGGCACACTGGACTAGAACACAACCAAACCTATGGTGGGATTCAACAAGATCACTTTCTTCTTCAAAAGCTTAATCGAGATCAGCTTTCAAATTTCCTGGCTAGGTGGACACTTAGCCCCTGACATACCAAAAGTTCAGCAAAGAACAAACTGTGCAACAGTAGCCAAATCCCCCTTCCCCAACATGTAAGCAGAAACTCCCTACGCACTTGGGTTCACACACGTTGTTCTACTTTGGGGGGGATGGGGGGGGTGGAGGGGTGCAGTCCCAACTATGATATGTATCAGACTTCTCCAAGGTAGAGTTAGGGAGAAAGAGCCACAACAGATCTGAACCAACCATGCCCTTAGGACTTTCTGTAGTGAAAACTCTCTGTAGTGAAAACCTGCCATACAGTCGACAAAGAGGAGCTATTCTTGGTATTTTTCTTCCTTTCAGACTCCTCTACAACCAGGAAGAGGATGTTTCCGTCATCACTGAACCCTCCCCCACCCCCCTGACATGCACACCCAGTACCCAGTCTAGCCACTCGACCCCCACCCCTACACCAAGAGCTAGAGGGCACCAGGAGACTCCCCGCCCCACGACCCAGCTTTTTGGTCAGACTACACACCCTGGCAGCGCACCACGCCTGCGCAGAGCAAACCTCCCGCGCAGACAACCCCTCCCCATTCCCCCCAGAGCGCGTGCGCACTCGAAATACTAGAAACGGGCCGCGCGCCCCAAGGCGCCTTCGCCAGGGCCTCCCCGGGCGCGCGCGCGCGCACCCTCGCCGCGTGCAGCCGTCGTCGCCGCCGCCGCGCGCCCCTCAGCCGGCCGGGCCGGTTCGCGCGACGTCTTTCGCGCTCTCTCGGCCCGACTCACCTCCTCCGCCGCCGGCCGGACCCGGCTGCTGATCCTGACGCGGCGGCTGGGGTGGCGGCAACGGCGGCGGCGACACGCGCTGGTAGAGCGGCGGCGGAGGGGGCGGCTGCGACGGCGGGTACGAGGAGCCCGGGGAGGGCGGTGGAGGCGGCGGAGGAGGGGGTGGCGGCGGCGGAGGAGGAGGAGGAGGCAGCGCCGCAAAGGGGAAGGCCGCGGAGAGAGCCCTCACAGAGCCCACAGGCGGGGTAGGCGGCGGCCTGGGCACCAGAAGCCCCGCCCCAGGCCCGGGGGCAGGAGATGGCCCCGGCTCGAAGCCCCCTTTGGGCCTGGGAATGGATGGAAGGCCCGGGGAGCCCAGCTTACCCAGCGGCGTGGCGTTCGCTCCGGTCGCCATGGCGCCCCCGGGGACCCGCACCGGCGGCTCCTCCTAGGCGGCGGCTTCTCTTTAGCGAACCTTCCGGGGACACGGGACCCGACTGCGCCCCTGAAGAGCGCGCGGAGCCCGTCCTCAGGCGGCTGGCAGCGAGCGGCGGCGGCGCGAGACGCACAAAGAGGGAGGAGAGAGGGCGCTGCGGGGGCGGGCCGGGGGCGACGGGGCGGAAGCCTGGATTGGGCCAGGCTCGGGCAAAGAGTCGGAATCGGCGGCCTCCAATTGGCGGAGCTTCAGTCCTTCTCGATGCGCGCTGCGATTGGCTGGACCGTTAGGCTAGGCGAGGAAATGGCGGCCGAGCTCGAAGGTGTCGCAGCGCGCACTTCGTTTGTTACTGCGCGAACGGAGCTCGAAGTCCTGAAAGGAGGAGTTAGGGTGGGGCAAGCAGTGACGCAGGCTCCAACTGCGCTCTCATTGGCTGAAGTTGATTGAATCAGCCAAACTTGGTTGTAACGTACTGTCATTAGATTGGCTGTCACTTGTTCAATTTTTTTTTCACTCCCCTCCCTCCCGAGAGCAGTTTCGCTGGGAGTAAGTGAGAGGTCGCAGCGGAAAAGCCGTGGCCCAACGTGATTTACGCGGAGGGAGGGAGAGAGGGAGGGGGGAGAGAGAGAGAGAGAGAAAAAAGGAGGAGCGAAGAGGAGGAGCGCGCATGCGTCAATGGGGCAAAGGGTTTCTCCGCCCCTCGCTTCACGGTTGATTTCAGGGTTCTGAGCGTAAACTCTTAAGTGACGTCAGCCTACGATTCCCGAGGTAACCCGGAACCGGGGTATGGGGCGGGGCCCTCGCGCTCCTATACTTGTCCTGTTGACGCCACAGGTAGAAAAGGACGTCCTGTTTTCTTTGAAAAAAAAAATAATAATAAGGTGCGGGGGATGGGGTGAAGGAAAGCTATAAAATAGTCTAATTGAAGATTAAAAACATGTGAGCAGATGCAACAGCATACAACCTTGGGTGGAAAACAATGTAAAGCTGTCAATTCTAAAATTAGTTTGCAATTATAATACAGTTCCATTGGAATTTCAGTGGAGTTAAATTATCATGTAACGCAGGAGGTCGGGCCCAGAGATCTGGATTGCGTACTGCGTTCGGATAGATTGAAAAAACTAGGAGCTCCACAAGGAGCACCTGATGCCTTTATTATTTACATTACGGGCAGCACCCATGGCGGCAGATCAAAGTTGGACCGCGCCTCTTCCAGTCTGAGGCTTGTTATAAGGAGTCCCACACAAAAGTGGCATGGGTTCAAGCTGCATAAACCTGTGTGTGGCCCAATTAGATGGCCACTGGCCAGAAGGAATGTATATTGCCCTGGAAACGAAATGTAGGTCCCTCCTGATCTCCCCTTGGGATAGGTTTCTTGTCTGGTGACTGCTTCTTGACCCTTTCCTCCTGTACACACACACTGACATAGTATGGCCTTGGGCCACAAGGTTTATGCAACTTGGACCATCAGGCTGACCGGGCTCCACATGGGACAAGATGGGCCCGCATCTCATTAGCAGACCTTCCCCAGTAGTCTGTAGCAGTCACTACTGTAATAGTCTTGTGTAGGGCTGCTGGCATCCACCCCATGAGCTGAACAATCTCACTTACAGTCCCATTTCCGCATTCAGTACATATGGGTATAGGCTGTCGTACTTCTCTACCTGTAATGCTGACAGCTGTCTCACAGCATTCCAAACCGTGTATGGAGCCACGGCTTGGTGTGGTTAGCCTGTTCCCTCATGAGGGAAAATACCTTTAATGGTCTGATTGAAGAGGGGGTCAGAAGCCTTTCAGCCTTGCATCCAGTCCCACCACCATGGTAGGCCAGCAGAGGCAACAGTGGGAAATTCAGTGGAGACCCAATAATCAGAGTGGTTGCTGACAGCTGCTAGCACAATGGCCCACTGTCGAAAGGTGTTTCCAGAGCAGAGTCTAGGGATGATAAGAGATGTTTAATAGGAACTAATAGAATTAGCTCTTAGCAGTCTGGCAAGACACAAACAACAGTCTGGTCTTATACCAGTCTTTTTAACGGTTAATACTGTTACACCAGTTAGTGGACACCCTGGCCTTTGGTACCACGCTCTACCTGGCTCTAGGCTAAGGGCCTCCTGTACTTGAAGGGCCAAGGGAGGTGTGTGTACTTGCCAAACTGAGGCTATAGAAGTTCCCTTAGGAATCGAGGTCGGCTGTGGGTTGCATGAAACAATGGTAAGGGACTAGGAGGACATTACCGTAGGTGCTAACTGTAACCCCATTATGAGTCCCTCTCCCCAAAGAGCTGCCAAGGAACGCCAACTGGACTCTATCTGTACCTGCCAAGGTCAGGCGAAGGTGCTTTTCTACCAGAGTGTGTCTTCACTGGCAAAAGCATGTTATTCCCAGTCCAGGGTGCTTAATTGTAGGCAGATAGGTGCTGCCCAAGGTCTAGTGAGAAGGTTGACAAGAGTGTTTGTTCCAAGCTCACAAGCAGTTGGAAAGATGGGGTTGTTCACCACTGGAATGAGCCAGGCTCAGTCTCAGAGCATTTTTCAAGAGGTCATTATCTCTCTCAATGAGGCCAGCTCTATTAGGGTTGTGTGGCAGGTGGAACCTCCAGTCTATATCGAGGATATCTGCCCAGTCTTGTCTTTGACATCTTGTAAAATGGGTGCCTTGGTCGCTTTCAATGGCGTCCGAGGTCCCATTGGCAGCACATAGTTGTTCGAGGCTTCAGGCAGTGGCTTGCTGTGTGGCCCGTCTGCACAGGTCTGCTTGCAGTAAACTGGTAGTCGTGTCAACACACATCAAGGCACAACCTTCGGACAGTGGCAGGGGGCCAATGTAAACCTGCCAGTGGTTCAGTGGGGTGGCCCCCCATTGCAGCCCACCCATGTCTTGGGGTAGCCTGCAGGGGTGCTTCTCTGCACAGTCAGTGCATTGCTGACAGGCTGTAACTACATTGGAGTAATGGAGTGGTAGGCCCCAGGCTTTTACCACCTTCCATAAAGTCTTATGCTCTTTGTTGTGGGAGGAGTTCCCCTGTAGAGCTCCCCCCGGCTGACACAGATGAGAATAAGGCTATCATGACATGATCTGCTTGGGGAGGAAAGGCTGACCAGTCTCTCAGAGGAGAAAGGCCTCAAGCCTCTCACTCAGTGGGCTTTTATTGATTTTAGCTTGCATAGGGATGCATGTCAAAGAAAGGAGGCATGGTTTATAGATAACATTTCTAGGATCACAGGGCTCCTTCTGAGTCAGGGTCTGGTGACAGTGTGACACCTATCAGCTGTAAAACCTTGAGAAACAAACTTACTTTGTGCTTGGACCCTTAACATTTAAATTAAGGGCATTCTTAGCAAAGCACGTTTCACAGGACTTTATGCATTCTTTCTTAGGCCTGAGCACCCCCTACTGGGAATGCCAGTTCCAGCACAGGGTTGCACCCACCTTTGGCATTGTTTCAGGCCTAAATCAGGCAGGGGAAGCAAGGCAGGCAAGAGATTAGGAGACATTTTACAGATGAAATGAGGACTGAGGCTGTGATAAACTGAGGGGTGAGGGTCTCTTGTCCCTCCTCCACAATCCCCTAAGTCCTTCCTTGAGGGCCCCTTCACGACTGTCCCTGTCTTAGGTTGTTCCTTCCTTGAGGAATCTTACCCATCATTGACTATCCAGCCATCCTCAGGGGGCAAGCTGGGTGAAGTAAAGGGGGCAGAGGCTGTACCCCTGCTGGGAGGGTGAGTTTTGTCTCTTTAGTGCCTTATGGTCCCAAGGTCCCCTAGCCGTGGGGCCTTTCATCTACTGGTGGTGTTACAGCTCCTGAAACCTGGCAGGACAGTTCCTGACACTTCATGATGCATCTTTCTGTGGAGCCATTTGACCGTGTCTTCTGTTGGAGCCTCTTCTGGCCAGCAGATACATGCCAGGTCGTTGGCCTCAGCATTGCCAGGGCTGCGGAGAGGTTGGTGTCTGCTCTACTGAGCTCAGGGGTCAGTTTACAAGGTCCTTCACCCAACAAGCGATGGGATAGGTAGTATGTACTCCAACCTCAGCAGGTCCAGTGACAGCTTCAGTAGCTAGGAGAGCCTGGTAAACAGTGTGCACTTTTTCTATTGGGTGGTATTGAGCCTCTACTCCTTTTGAGAGCTGGGACCAGAAACCAGTTGGTACTTTGATGTGCATTTGCCGTTGCTAGAGGCCTGTGGTATAGCCTTTGGAGGTGACATGGATGTCTGTTTGTGCTTGTACCATATTCACCACTTGAGTTCCAGTTATTGATGCATTTATTGGCTGCTGCTTGCATGTACCCTGACTGGGGATCAAACCCTCAACCTTGGTGTATCTGGACGATGCTCTAACCAACTGAGCTACTCGGCCAGGGCAGGACCTAATGTATTTTCAAAATGTGCTTCATACTTTTTAAAAAACCTAAGACATTCTGTTTACCTAACGTCATTATACGTCTGTATTAAGAAATGTGTTGACAGGATGGTCACCAAATTTCCAAAGTCAGTGGGATCTCAGGTGGTTTTTCCTCCTATTTCTATATACTATTTTAATTTTTTATACTGAGCAAGTATTATTTATATAATATAATACAGCCCTAGCTGGTGTGGCTCAGTGGATTGAGTGCCAGCCTGCGAACCAAAGGGTCACCAGTTGGATTCCCAGTCAGGGCACATGCCTGGCTTGTAGGCCAGGTCCCCAGTGGGTGGCATATGGGAGGCAATCACACATTGATGTTTCTCTCCCTCTCTTTCTCCCTCCCCTCCCCTCTCTAAAAATAAATAAAATATAAAAAATAAAATGTCTCCTAAAAAAAGTTAAACACACCTACTGTATGACCCGGTCCTCCCATTCCAAAGTATTGTCAACATAAGAATGTCCCAACCTGCATGAGAGTTTGAAGGTTTTTATTTTTTTATTTTATTTTTTATTTTTTTTTATTTTTACATTTTATTTATTTATCTTTAGAGGGGAAGGGAAGGAGAGTGGGAGAGAATCAATGTGTGGTTGCCTCTCATGGGTCCCCTGCTGGAAGACTGGCCTGCAACCCAGGCATGTGCTCTGACTGGGAATTGAACCACAATCCTCTGGTTTGCAGGCCCGCACTAAATCCACTGAGCTACACCAGCCAGGGCTGAAAGTTTTTAAATTTTTATTATTTTATTTATTGATTTGGGAGAAAAACAGAAACACCGATTTGTTGTTCCACTTACGCGTTCACTCACAGGTTCTCATGTGCACTCGGACCTCGGACCGAACCCGTGACCTTGGTGTATCAGGAGGACACTCAAACTGACTGAGTTGCCCAGCCAGCGCACGAGTTCGAGTTTTATTTGAGCCAAACTGACA